GTAAGCCAAGGGGGACTTATTGGTTGGTGTAATTTAAGGGTAAGTGGGATAATTTTTGGGACTTTACTTTATGCTGTTATTCATTGGGACAATGGTATTGGGATTTCACTTTAATGTGTTATTCATTGAGACAATGAGATTGGGACAATTACCCCTACTTTTCCCAAAATTATTTTACTTCTATACAAATTTTTTGTCTCAACCTCTAAAAATTACCACATTCTTAACTTTGGGACAATCATGAGGAAAGTTAGATAATTTTAAAGCACTAATTTATTAATTATCTAATTTATGTTAATTGTATTATGATATATAATATATCTTAATTATACTATATTATAAAATTCTATTATAACGTAAGATAATAAAATATTATATAATGTTATCTAATATAGGATTATTATATATCATTATTACATATTGGTTAATAATATTTCATATATTATAATATTACTTTATTTTATTTAATATATATTTTATTAGTTAGAATAAAAATATTATTATAGTATTTTTATGATATATAATATTGTTTTATAACAGTGTTTATATATTTAATATAATAATATTTTAATTACATTATAATATAATTTATTATATAATAATTTGCTATTTTCTATTATACTTAATTATATTAATTAATAGTCTTAAATATATTGTCAATATTATGGTAGTTACAATATTAAATAATATTTTATTACTGCAATAAAATTATAATAATGTACTATATATTAAAGTATGATAATATATATATATATAATTAATATAATATAATATATCATTTAATAATATTTTTTAATATGAACTTATTAATAGTATATTATGGTTATTATAAATATTATATTTTAATAAGGAGCCATGTCATCAATTATTCTATTTAAATTATAGTAATTATCATAAAATAAAATAATATATTTTAATAATATAATATTTTAAATAATTTTATATTAAATTAAACAAAATAATTCAATATTTGATAAATGATTATATTATTGAAATATTATATTCAAATATTGATTAAATATAATATTATTGAAATATTATATATTTATTATAATAATATATTAACTATAATATAATATAATTTATTATATAATAATTTACTATTTTCTATTATACTTAATTATATTAATTAATAGTCTTAAATATATTATCAATATTATGGTAGTTACAATATTAAATAATATTTTATTACTGTAATAAAATTATAATAATGTACTATATATTAAAGTATGATAATATATATATATATATATAGAATTAATATAATATAATATATCATTTAATAATATTTTTTTAATATGAACTTATTAATAGTATATTATGGTTATTATAAATATTATATTTTAATAAAGAGCCATGTCATCAATTATTCTATTTAAATCATAGTAATTATCATAAAATAAAATAATATATTTTTAATAATATAATATTTTAAATAATTTTATATTAAATTAAACAAAATATTCAAATATTTGATTAAATATTATATTATTGAAATATTATATTAAATATATTGTTTGTACATTTTATCAATTATTATATAATATATCATATTATTATAATATATTATGTTATACTAATTGATATAATATATTATTATATTATATTATATTAATTAATAACATTAAATATAGTTATAATTAGTTAGTAATTATAATATAATATATTATATTTTTGTATAAACTAAAATAATGTATAATATTATAATAACATACCAAATAATATACTAAACTAATTAGGTTAATTAATTTAGACTTAATTGATAGATAAATATTGTACTTTAATAAGGTGTCAAATCATCAATTATCTGACATGAATTGTCAAATTAAAGCTTTAAATTATCCTATTATCCTAAATTATTCCACTTTACACCACTCAAAATATCCCAAAGGGATAAAATTATTCCATTAGAATAATTATCCCACTTAGCCCCAACTTGTCACAACCAATAACCCTCCTGAGGTTAGAATTACTGATCAAAATAAGTGAAACCAGTGTTGATTTTAACATTTCTATGTGAGATGTTGCATGTTGTTAGGTGTGAAACTTGTGCCCTCATTAAAGGAGATTATCATGAGATTATAGCTTTAACATTCTTTTAGAAGACTTATTGGCGGTTGCTAGTTATGCAAAATTTTAGGTAGTTTGATCTGCCGATTAAAGTTATTAAAGTTATGGAAGTGACATGATGTCTGATGGTGTTGCGGGTCTCAGTCAAGATCTTAGATATGTCTTAAGATTATATATATACATATATATGACTATTATAAATAACGGTAAATAGCGTCGCTAATAGCGTTAGCGGTCCTTTCCTACTATGTTATCGCCCAATAGCGGTGACATATTACGGAAAATACGTTTTTCGCTCACAAAACCGGCCAATAGAGCACCATAACAGTGAATAGCAGGCGATTGTGAGCAAAATTCGTTTTTTGACCGTTAGTTAAAAGCAGTTTGACTTTTTTTTTAAAAAATTAAACCTAATCCACCACCGCCTCCCGCTATTTCTGGCATATTCCTGCCGCCTCGCACAGCCTCAGGCACCTCCTTCAGTACTTTCTCTCACATCTTTTCGCCGTGAGCCCTCCTACTGCATTTCTCTCATCGCTCAGCTCATCTTCTTGAAGACGACGACTCTTTGACTCCTCCCGTGTCGGTTACATGTCTATTTCATATTTAGGATCTTTTTAAATCATCAAATATGTACTTTTAGATTTTCTAAAATTTTCTTTAATTTTTCTTATTGTTTTGAATAGCTATATATATTTAAGTAAGACCGCTATTAGACTTTATGTTTTTTATCGCTATTTTGCCGCAATAGCCCCAAATCGCCTTAGTGATGCCTCATCACTACGCGATGCTATCCGTTATCGATAACTTTTATGTGTATATATACACATCTAATACTATTATAAAAGTGGATTGTTGTGTTAAAACATTTCTTCCCTAAATGCCCTCCAACATATCTGTCCATACATACATAAAACATACAAATACTCAATTTTTTACAACATAGCCATTGATTATACATCCATCCATTCACACATACATGGTGACACATGCATACTCAAATTTTCATAACCTCTATATTTATGACCATCAAATTTTTGTTAACCACTCACTCACAACATTCAACCACTAACTCTTGACACTAAATATAACTTTATTCACAATAATGATGAAAAATGTTGCAACTATTCATCACCCACCGATCACTATGAAAAATAACAAAATCTTATTAAATTTCACCAACCAAAATTCCATTCATAATCAAAATTTAGATGAGGAAGAAAGAAGAAAAACCTACACATCTCACAACCCTCAAGAATCAAGTCCATCTCCCTCACGAATGGAACTCGACAGTTGAGAGTATATTAGTTTGCCCCTCCAAACTTATATAAGCATCTTCGACAATCCCGTTTAGGACCTCAAAAAGGCTATCGATCACGTGAATTGCATAACTATTGATGTATTTTTTAGAAGCAAACTAAGCATATCAATGCATGTGATTTTTTTAATTTATGTTTACCCTTAGTTTGGTTTGTATACATAAAATAAGAATATGAACGCATTTATCATGCATTATCAGATATGAATGCATTAGATATGCATTATTAGTTCACTCATGCTGGTTTTAACTATAATTTTGAGAAATTTTGCTATTTCCTCTTCAGATATGAACGTAAATATGAATGTCTACGCAGCCTTGGTTTGTATATTATACTCGGTATAGAAGCTAATATGGTACATATTTATAATTAGAAGTTCTTTTTCTTTTAGGCCTGTAAGCCCATTTTTGAAATTATTCTTTTTAGACTCTAGAAAATAAACTTCCCTAAATATGCATTAAAATTTCTAATTCTCTTAAATATTTTTTACCTTCTATGCAACTAAGACAAAAAGGAATATAATTAGTAAAGGAGTGAGGAATATGTGTTTATGAAGAAATTTAAGAGAAGAAATTTTTTGATGTGGGTACATCTTTCAAATTTGCATATTACTTATACTATGAGCTCAAACAATTATTTTGTTTATTTTATGAAGTGTATCTCATCCTGTCATTCTTTAATATTTGGTTTTTTATATATATATCATCCAAAAGTGCCATTTTGCTTTAAATTGTTTAAAATTATCACTTTGTATCATTTTATGAATAAAAAGTTACAGATTTTCAAAAACTCATGCAAAAAAAAAAAAAAAAAAGCTAACATGATTGAAATGACCAAATACTTAAAAAATAACTAAGCCTTATTTCCATCCGAAATTGGTTAAAAATTGAAAATTGAAAATTCTTTTAATTTGTAGAAAAGTTCTATAATTTAAATGTATATGAAAAAAAAAAAAAAAAAAAGCTAACATGATTGAAATGACCAAATACTTAAAAAATAACTAAGCCTTATTTCCATCCGAAATTGGTTAAAAATTGAAAATTGAAAATTCTTTTAATTTGTAGAAAAGTTCTATAATTTAAATGTATTGTGATCCTTTAGTTTTAAAAAATCATGGAACACATTTCTTTTTCTTTCTTAAATACTTCGGATGGCACCTTTGAGTTAAAAAAAACAACGAGTATAACTACGTGTATCGCAGGTATGCTATACTAGTATATATACATATGTATATGCACACATATATATGTATATGTATATGTATATGTATATGTCCAATTTTCTTCAGATTGAACTTGTGATCTTTAAAACTTTACTTAAATGTAAGTAACATTTTGATTCAATTTTAATAAAAGAATGCTTGATCAATCATAAAACAATTTGTTAAGATAGAGTAGACAACGAGGGAAGTAAAATGGAGGTATATAAACAACAACAGCAACAAAGCCTTTATACCAAATTTTTGGGGTTGGCTACATAAATCCTATTCTTCCATTCACTATTTTTGTGTCATCTTCTCTGTAACATTATCTGTTATAATATTCTTTGTAATTGCTTCCAACCTAGTTTTTTGGGTCTACCTCTATATCTCTTTGCCCTATTAACTATAATATTATCACTTTTCTAGACCATTGTACTGAGAGGCCTCCATTGTACACGACGTAACCATCTCAACCAGTTCTTTCACATTTTATTCTAAATAGGAGCAACCTCTAATCTCCAGCAAATGCACTCATTTCATAAACCTATCATTTTGTGTATACCCATAAGATCATCGTTACATTCTCATTTCCCGATACATCCATTTTTACACATGTTGTGTGTTCTAGTTGCCCAACATTTTGATCCATGAAGCATTATTGGTTTCATAACTGTTCGATAGAAATTTTCCTTAAATTTCACAGGTATTCTACAATCGCACTGCAGAAGCACTCCTCCAAATGATTTACATCTTTTGATAAAGTGTTTGGGAGTTTCTATATAACAGGATAAAAAAGAAGTTTCTTTTTGTTATCCAGTTTTGAAGACAGACAGTTCCTTACGCTTAATGATGATCAGAAACACAAAGATCTGCGATGAACTTCTATAGTTATATGCTTTATTATGTATTGCTCTTATCTGATAATATCTTAAAATAAATCATATTGGTCATTAAAATATTGTTGTTATATCAGTTCAGTAGAGAAATCATTTTTACTCAGTATAGTAGAAAGTATCATTGCATTGGTTTTGTGTGTTTCCATGTCATTTTTTCTCACATTTGAATCTACTGTAAGATATAATAGCTCACATATAGCTTTGGGTTCATACATAAACTGAGCGTCTCGCTATCACTTGGACAGGAAATTCTTATTTCTACCTGATGTGCTTTTAAAATGGGAGGGTTTGGTTGCAGTTGTCAACCTTTCTATTAGGTCTTTGTTGTTTCAGTTGATCTACAATTGTATAAGTATTGATTTTTTTCTCCCTTTTTTCAGGTGGTAGTGTTCAAGCAACCCAACTATCTGCATAACTTTGTCCAGGCAACGTTTAATGCCCTTTCTGCTGACAGAGTAAAAGGTAAGCACTGATCTCCATTTTTTTTCATTTCTTTGTTGTCAAAGATATTAATGCATTGATTTTTTTTGGGTGAGAAAAACCTGATGCAATAATTTGAAGGAATTAACTATATATAAGTTTTTGGGCAACAATCTTAGAGTTGTCTCGGCTGATGGCAATATTTTCTGATGCCTTGCTGGATCAAAATGACATGGAATGCTAAACTCATGTGCCCTTCTACCTGAAACTGTGCATAATGTAGATAATGTAAATGATGCAATGTCTAAATTTGCATGTTGGGTTGCTTATTTTGTTTATTCATAATATTTGTATCTTCCATGCTTTTTGTTTTCCTGATGCAAGTGTTCCCATCATAGAATTTGCTGTTATTAGATTTTAAGTGAAATTGTGGTTATTATGCCTGTGGTTATTATATCTGTTGCAATAGCTTTCTTTGATATTTTACTTCACTAATCCAGAGAAAAAAATTTGACACTCTAAAATTTGAATCCAATAACTAAAGTTTAGAAGGATATTATCTACTTACTGATAAAAACTTGCACTGAGACCTGCCGGTTTAAAAGATTGAATCCAATAACTAGATATCAAAAAATATTATCCACTTACTGACAGAACTTGAACTGAGACGTTACAATTATCTTACTTAGAGTAAAAGCAATATCTAACTGGCCAACCGATTTCATATGAAAGCTTTTTAAAATGGCATCAAATTTCATCACACCTCAACCATATTACTTAGGCACTTCTAATCTGAAGCCATACAGCCATAACCAAACTCCTTAGACACTCCTTGCATATATGCGTATATCTATTTGGGCATGTAGTCAATTATACACTACATGTTTTAATTTATAACACTAGTTATACATTTTTTGGACATATATTCTACACTTCAAATCCACTTCTTGAAACTCGTTAGACACATGTCATGTTCCGAACTATGATTTTGGAGAGTCGTTTGGATGTTTAGTTCAAAAACTAGTGATTTTTACATAGTAAAAGAAACATAAAAATGTTATAGGAAGTTTAATTCTTATCCTTGTTCTCATATAAATTATTAATTCCAATATACAATATATATATATATATATATATATTATAATATTATATATAATATATATATATATAGAGCAAGACTCCTATCAACTTAAGTTGATATCCACCAAAGTTTGTAGCCACACATTTATTAATATAAAACACCTTTTATATAAAACATGGATCCCTAGGCAATATGATGGTTAAAAACTTTGGGACACATAATTCCCTTCCACTTAAGTTGACACAAGTTTTCACCTATATATATATATATATACTATAATATATATATATATATATATATATAATATTATTATATATATATATATATATATATATAATATATATATATAATATAATCATATATATATTATATTATATATATTATATATTCCCGATACCTACATTTTACAAATTTGCTATGTACTTGTACCGGTACCCGTAACCACACGCATGCAGCATTGCACCCCAAATATCATTCTAGCTGCTGTCTTATATCTTATATGCAAAGTATCTCAGTTCATCTTGAAATTAGAATTTTTACATTTGTACTTCTCAGCCTATATAAGTGTGCCATGTCCAAGTTAACCCTTAATTTCTGTATATCTTCAGTGTCTTGTCCCCTGTGGACAGAATCTTTAATACGTGCAATCTTCAGAGGATTTGTCAATTAGCAAGAGAACCTTATGTCTTTTAACCACCAAGTAGGCTGGATTTGTCCTTAGTTATGTGCTTGCACGGTTGCACTGCATTGGTTCCAAATCTTTGGTTAGCTATGTCAATTGTTCCCTTTCTATCATTTTCTTCCATGTTGATGAGAATGGAATTTTTACAGAGAAAGCTTCCTAACTCAAGAAAAGTAGTTCAGTTTGTGCCTCCTTTGAGTTCAAAACAAGAAAGAAGAGTAGAGAGCTTTGTCTCTCAGTCTTGGCCTTGTAAATGTATGGAACTAAGGAGTCACCCTTATTATTCTGATATTTAATCCTGCAGAACGTCTGAAAAGTTATTTGCTTATGTTAGTTGTTTACTTAATATCCAGCCATTATTAAACGATTCAAAATTGATTATATGAGAAACTTGCATTTATAAAATCATGGATGCTTAAGCACTTACCTGCATGAATCTGTGTGTGTATTTCATTGTTTTCTCCTTAGCACATTCCCCATTTTGAAAAATTTTCTGGGTTTTTTTTCAGTAATGAAAGCTAAAAAGACTTTGAACTTTTCTTTTACCAATCTGCGAATTATATTTCTGCAGAGTTCTGTTTCTTATGAGCTCCAATTTATTTTGAAGAGGATTAGTGGCTTACCACTCAAGTGTTTGTGCAAGTGTCTAGTCTATCATTGGCATTCATACTGCTCATACTACTATGACCTTTAACATTAATTATAATCCATTTGTAAATATATGTAAATTAGGAGTGACTATAAGGACATGGGCAGCAAATCCACCATATGGTTAGCAGCTTCTGGTGGGTTATAGATGAGTAAGGTTAAACGAGCAACGCAGACTGATCTTCTTAAACGGGTCTGTTTTTATTCTGGTTATTTCGCCTGCTTGATTTAAATCTAACACCAATAGCTAACAAATATGATAGTCATGAAACCTCATTGCCTATGTTCCTTCCTCTTTAAATAATACTCGTTTCATAGGATGAATAGAGAAAAACATTGCTGTATGAACGCGCGGTGCTCGTTTCCTATCAATATTCAAATAAGCATCCAGCTAGGGATGCTTCTCATACTTATACTCCAACTTCATGTTCTGTCTCTACTAGTTTAATTAAATTATAACTGAACTTGTAACTAATTTTGCCATAATATAAAATTTGATCTCTATGATATGTTAAAACGAAAATGACCATTTAAATGAAACATCATATTTATAAGACTTTCCCCTTGTACAATAGAGCAAATAGGTTCATGGTTAGCTAGTATGCTGCTTTATCAAGATCTCTTGGTAAAAGTAAGTAGGCTTGTCGCAATCAGGATTTGGTAAACTTACTGTAGCACGTGGTGATATCTTTAATGTTATCTTTTGGTGATTTGGTGTTCCATATTAGGTAAAACAACTCTTTCAGTTAAACTAGTAACTAAAAATGAGGTCCATAATGCAGGTGCTACACTTGTTGTTTCTGGGGATGGTCGATATTTCTCTAAAGATGCCATTCAGGTACATCCAATTTCTCATTGCTTGTTGATTCATTTGTTTCCTCCTGATGCTGTATACTGTACTTTGGTTATATTCTCCAAATAATATAAACAAGATATTTATTTGTTTGTGTTATTATTTTGAATAACCTATATAACTGCCCCTTGCAACTTTTTTATAAATTATAATCACTATAATTTAAAAAATTTTAAGTTCCAATCATGATTGCTATTTATAAATCATAAATACTGTTGTCTTGTAATTTTATGCGCATTTGAGACAATTTTGTACATCCTCTCAAGCATTCCTCTTGAGTTCCTCTGATTCTTTGGGCAATTTTAAAGCCTCTTGATTGTGAATCACCTCTCCTTCTCTATCCTACGTCCACCAATACACTTGCTCATGTAAGATTGTTCAAAGGTCATGCATGGGCCAATTTCATCATACTCTCACCTTTCTGTTTATCTCAATCAGCCTATGTTACACTGTTAATTTTCCTTGGCACTTCTCCATTGAGATTACTATAGTTCACCAGAAGATCACAGTCAGTAATCTTGTATGTTTGTCGTTAACTATCTTATCTCATTTATCATCCTTTTGATGCCTAGTTTCTTTTAATCTTTAAAACATTGGCAGATTATTACAAAAATGTCAGCTGCAAATGGAGTCAGACGTGTTTGGATTGGCCAAAATGGTTTGCTCTCAACTCCAGCTGTTTCAGCTGTCATTCGCGAAAGAGTTGGTGCAGATGTATGATTATCTTTCCACATCAGGAGTTGATCTTTTTGAGAAGTATTATATGTTAAATAACATCTATGTACCATTTTGGCAACCACAGGGTTCTAAAGCGTCAGGTGGATTTATATTGACTGCTAGTCACAATCCTGGTGGGCCACATGAGGTATGTGTCCTTTTATGATGTATTATCGGTTTTAACAATGATCTAGTCACACACAAAGAATTCACTATCCAACTCACTCGTTACTTGTAAGTTTTATATATATTGAATATGGGAAAGTGAAGTCACTGCAAACATGTCCGTGCACATGGATATATGGCCCACTCTTGTACAAGCATATAGCAAAGTGTGTAGGATGTGAAGAAAGAGAGGAGGGAGAAAGATTAGGGCAAGTAGTTGCTGACCAACAAGGAATGGAGGACAAAACTAAGTCAATTTAGACACCTTTTTGCTGAAGTTATCAATTATTAATAAAGATTTTATTAATCTGTAAATGAATAAATGCCTGAACTGATACTTAAACTGGAGCAGTCAAAACTGCAAAATAAGGATCACTGTATGAGGAATCCAGGCAAATTGGATCTGAGTTTTCTAACCTTGTTATTTCAACTTTAGATTTCTGTAAAGACTCCTACAGCTGAAATTTAAGCAAGGGTCTCGTTACTTGTGGTGATGCTTTCACAGTGAAGAATCCTTTCATTTTTCTCCTCAAGGCTATTTACATTATTTTCCTATGTCATTAATTTCTTCAAGATTGAAAATTAGATGGAACAATCGCAGAATCTTATACCTTGTATCAACAAATAATTGACTTTTCATACACAGTTATTCCTAGTATCTATAGAAGTTTCTGTTCTATTTTTCAGTTGAATAAATTTCAAATATTTATGATTTAAATCCTCATATTGTCTCAGAATCCCCCCCTCTTGTGTCCTTATTGTTATATGGGAATTGCTGCCCTTTACATACCATCATACCATCGAGTTCTTTTTTAGAGAAAAAACATTCCAAAATATATTTATATTTAATACATAATGCAATAAAAAGAATCTCATAAAGAGTTTTTGAGGAAATTAGTGTCTATTGATTTTGTTTTAACTATACAACTTCTTCTAGACTAGCGAGAAACTTGTTGTTCTCTTTTATGTAATTTACCTTTTGCAAATTTGTTCTCATTAATTTAGAGTTGTAACTATTCTACTATCTACATAGCTTATTGTCTTTGTTTTCATTATTTAATTTAAAGAAATGCTGGTCGTTCAGGATTTCGGGATCAAATACAATATGGAAAATGGTGGACCTGCTCCGGAGGTCATTACTGATAAAATTTATGACAACACGAAAACAATAAAGGAATACTTCATTGCAGAAGATCTACCAGATGTACTCAAGCTTTGACTTGTTTTCGGGCCTTATTTACTTCATCCTAAATCATATATTACTGAACATCTATATGTGCTAACACTGCAGGTAGATATCTCTAAGACAGGCGTTTCGAGCTTCAGCGGACCTGAAGGAAACTTTGATGTAGAGGTTTTTGATTCAGCTGATGATTATGTGAAATTGATGAAGTAAGTTAATTCTTTAGAATTGAGTAGTTTCTGTTCTCCTCAGACATATGTGAAATTGATGAAGTAGAGGTTTTTGATTCAGCTGATGATTATGTGAAATTGATGAAGTAAGTTAATTCTTTAGAATTGAGTAGTTTCTGTTCTCCTCAGACATATGTGAAATTGATGAAGTAGAGGTTTTTGATTCAGCTGATGATTATGTGAAATTGATGAAGTAAGTTAATTCTTTAGAATTGAGTAGTTTCTGTTCTCCTCAGACATATGTTTATGCATGCTACATGCAAAGCATGTGGTTGAATCTCGGTATTTCAAGTGTTACGAAAATAACTAATGTTGTCAGACCAAAAACATGTGCTGTCAAAAAAATACTTTATCAAACTTCCATTATGAAATTATAACTGCTCTTCCACTTCTTTCTCAGGAAAATTTTTGATTTTCAGTCTATCAAGAAACTGCTTACATCTCCAAATTTCACATTCTGGTATGTATCCTGTACTCAGCTAACCAAGATTGATATTTCATGTCCTGAGTCTTCTCGTTAGAACCGGAACTTGTGAGCTCAACCTACTTTTGATAGTTATGATGCACTAAGCGGAGTTGCTGGAGCATATGCTAAGCGTATTTTTGTTGAAGAACTTGGTGCAAAAGAAAGTTCACTATTGAATTGTACACCTAAGGTATATTTGGAAGCTTCTAGATGCTTACATTTTGTTGCTTAAGTTTGTTTTAAGATATGTGTTAATACATATTGATTATGACTTGTGCTAACAGGAAGACTTTGGAGGTGGACATCCAGACCCCAACCTGACATATGCAAAGGAACTGGTCACACGGATGGGATTAGGTAAATCAAGTTCTCACAATGAACCACCAGAATTTGGCGCAGCTGCTGATGGTGATGCAGATCGCAATATGATCCTGGGTAAAAGGTATCTGCATACTTAATAGTATGAGAACTGTAAATGACAGATTTAACTTGTTTCTTGTTATTTTAGGTTTTTTGTGACACCATCAGATTCCGTCGCCATTATTGCTGCCAATGCAGTGGAATCCATTCCTTATTTTTCTTCTGGACTGAAGGGTGTTGCGAGGTAGATTTTTCTGTTTCTTTACAGTATATTTTGCTTAATATCTGCATTCTTGTTGTAGTGTCATTGATGTAACAAATCTATGTCATTTCTGTGCACAAAGGGTGGAGGATTTTTAAGGCGCACACAGTTGTAGCATATAGGTTTTCCATCATCCCAGTTGGTGGTTGGAGATGGATGAAGACATATGTTGATGAACACAAATAGCATGATGAAGAACATTTGGTGGTGAAGGGGGTTGCTTTTGAGAATTAGCTTCATCCGCAACTCTTAAAGCTCTGCCACTACAACAAAACTCCTAAGTTGTGGTAATGGTTGAGAGTTATAATTTTATATTCTAACACCTCCTAGGTTGAGTGCCTATTAATAAGCCAAAGCTTGGTCTCACAGTTTTGTTTTAAGGTCAGCTTTTGAAATTCATGGCAGCAAGATTCGAACTTGGGTTGCTCCAATACCATTTTAGAGGACCCCGCAACACCAAAACTCCAAAGTTGTGATGAGGGTTGAGGGTGATAACTTTATAATTTAACATGCCCTCGCAAGTTGTGGGTCCTTTGATGGACCGAAATTTGGATTCACAGAGCGATATCTTCTTTTTAATTTGCTTTATATGTTTGTGGCCAACAAGACTTCGAACCTGGGTTGCTCTAATGCCATCTTAAAGTCTCTGGCACTACACTAAAACTCTGAAGGTGCAGCAAGGGGTTGGATATTATACTTTTATATGCTAACAACAATATTTTCTTTTAAGCATGAGAGGCATACCTATGCAAACATGGTCTATCAGTTAATATTTTTTTGAAATTTTAGTTTGGTATTTGAACACCTTCAGGGCATATCTTCTTACAAAAGAGTGAAATGGATGCTTTGTTATCTAATGCCCATTGACATAAAAAAGGCACATGCACGGTCATGTCTTCGTGTTAGAGGGTAGGAATCAGCTTGATTGCTACCCTCGACAGCTGTCGTATCTGATGATATGTGACCATGGACATGGCTAATATCTATGCGCAATTCAGTAAATAAGGTGCCATTAGGAAACAAGTTATTGGGTCAGCTTATGGTCGCAGGTTATGTCAAGTGATCCTTCCACTACACAAAAACTCCTAAGTGTAAGGGTCGAGGGTTATGATTTTATGTTTAACATGGTCCCGTATGTTGAGCACTCATTATTGGCCAACACTTGGATCTGCACAACTATACCGTTTTTAAATTCGCTTTAAATACATGGCCGGTGGGAATTGAACCTTCACCCACACAATAGTACGATGTCAAAGGACCCTTCCTCTGCTCCAAAACTCTGAAGTTGTGGTGTTGTGGTGGTTGAGGGTTAAAGTTACATATTTTAACAGGTAACACTGAGCACTTGTATACCTTAACAAACTCGGAGGCCTTATTATTAATGGGTAATATAGACTGGCATATTTTGGGAACGACAAGTTAGTATTCTAGGTGTTAACTTTGCATTTCCCCGATATTTATCCCAATTACCAGAAGTGTAATTTGCAGTACATTACAGGTTGGAAATACTGATTCACTCAGTGGTGTATCTCAGATTTCTGAGAAGTGGTGTCACTACATAATTGATAATTAAAAAGTTTTTACAGTTGCCCTTGACATGTTTTCATTTTTGAAAAAGATACATAATTGCATCATTAGTAACACTATCAAACACATCTTTCTCAATATACGCTCATGTTATCAACTTGAATTGAAAGGTGAGTTTTTTAAGTGGATAAATAAAAAAAAACCCCTTGAGTTTGGGTGTTTCTCGGATAACCTCCCTTAACTTCCAAACTACACAAAGCCCTCCTTAAATTTCGGGGTTCTCTGAAGTCCCATCAAAATTTGACATCTTTCATAAAAAATCCTTAACAGTGTTATTTTCACGTGGGTGGACAAAATTACATTGAGAGATATTTTTGCTAGTGAAATTATGGTTCACACTTTTTAGGGGGTTTTCTCAAAACATCAAAATTGAAGGAGGTTTCTTCAGAATCTCAAAAGTTGGGTTTTTTTTTCAGCGCGGGCGGGCGGGGGGTGGGGGGTGGGGTGGGGTTGTGCATTTTAAAAGTTAAGGGGAGTTACTTAAGAAACCCCCAAACTGAAGAGGGGTTATTGGTCCTTCGTGACCATCCTTGACCAAAGTGGTGTCACATGACCCCACTTTGGTCAAGGTGGATCTGCATATGGACTCACTTGAGTCATAGGTTTGTGCAAACAGTTCTTGTGATTTGTCATGCTATTCATCAGTAAGGGTAATATTGATCTGAAGATCTGAGAAACATTAATGTTTACTATTGTCGGATACTTGATTGAAACTGTGAGTTCAACGATAGAAACATAATGTGTTTCAGTTTGGAGGAGTGTGATCGTGTCTTATTGTCTCAAAAAAGAGCACTTGCATGCACTCTCAGAGTTAACTTTGATTTAGCACTAGTGTTGATGTCAGGTTGACTTTGGCTCCAGAAAAGTTTAATACAATTGCTAAATTTTCTGAAAAATGTTCTTGAACTATATATTTTGTTTATTGCCATTAAGGGTTGTCAAATTTATTTTCTTTTGCTCCTCCATTGAGTTTATTTCCCTTATAAGATCACTTGTGTTGGTACTTCTCCATTGAGTTTATTTTCTGGATACGTAGACAAATGTTACCTTTTTTTCCTTTACCTATAGGATTATTTGTGTTGGTACTATAACATGATATTTTGTCTGGAACAGTGTTTTCCGAATTCACTCTGTCCTTCACATACCACATTCCAGTTCTTGTCTAATGATTTAAAATGCATCCATGCTCACTACTACGTTTGCTAGAATTGGCAACCCAACTAGTGACTAATTCATGCCCTACCCTTTCTTGTTTCCTTAATAGACTTAATTTACAATTTTCATGACTTACATTGTGATACGGGTGTATCTTCTCTCTACTTTGGGAGCTTAGCGATTCTCATGGGAGCTTGAGGATAGATGATTCTCATGGTAGCTTGAGAATAGAGATGTGAGTGAAGCCGTTGGTGGTGGCAAAAGAGGCCAAAAGCAGGAAAAACAGAAGAATCAGGAAATGGAAGAATCAGTTCTGGTCGGTCGACTGAATGGTTGGCACCGGTCGACCGACAAGGCCATATTGGTCGACCGATCGACCAATATCGGTCGACTGAAAATGTGCACGCCTACAGGGTTAAAAACTTCTATGGCCGGTCGACCGAACCAAGCAGGCCGGTCAACCGGATCAGGTTCATGGGTGAATATGGATTCCTTTTTGGCGTGTTTTCCAAGTTCTATTGGACTTGGTCATTTACGAGATTGCCATCCACGTTGTTAGACATATAAATAGGGATTGTTTAGAGTTTCTAAACAAGAGATTGGATTTTAAAGAGAGATTCTAATCAAGAGATTAGGGTTTAGACATAATAGAGAGATTGTTCTTTATTCTAGTGAGATTGTGAGGGAGAGATTTTGTAATTTTTATTCTTTATAATCTAGAGAAAGTATTTTCTTTCGCCACTTTAATTTTTGTGTGTTCTTACTGCTATCTTCTCAACCCTACCTTTGATAATTCCGCGATCAAAGGTGCTCGTTCAGCGGCTCGTATCACATTGTGGCTTTAAAGTTTGTCGTTTAAACTTTGATTGTTCAATGCAGTAGAATTGTATCATATTTCTGAACTAAAGAATTCTGCTTTCCGCTCATGGAATATATAACATTTTCTCTTACCATAATACTTGGTCTTATATGTCTTCAAATGTATATATTTTCCCTGCTCTATCTACATGCACAAAAATGATGAACTTATAATCGCTTAAACAGCCCCCCAGAAATGCTCCCAAAGTGTACCATGATCTTAAATAGGTAATACCAATCTAATGAAGCCTTCCCTTCAGTATTGCTACTATGATGTAACTTACTGCATAGCTTTACCCTTACCATGTACCAGAGCATACCACAAATTTGGTCACATTAGTCTGGCATCTAGAGCTGTCAAGGAGTTCTTGATCTAAGATAAGAAAGTTTCAGTGATTATTGATCATGGTTTCTATTTTTTTAATTTTAATCAGTAATGTTTATTTCATATTATAGAATGCAATCAAGTTTCTGACTCTGTTCACATGCAAAACAGAGTACAAAGCCTCTCAATAATAGTAAATCAGTCACATCGACTTTAGTAGTGTCCCAGGGGACAAAGATGTTGATTTTCTAAAAGAAACTACAAGGTATTTAAATAAAAAACTACAAGTTTTCAAAATCACGATGTTTCTCGCATATGCAATCTCAGAAGCTTGTGAATCTCGGAGAACAGAAAGGAGTGTTGGTATGAAAATTGGAACCTCTAACTGCTGGTATTCTTCTTGCATGTGTATTCTTCTTTAAGAATGTGACCAGTATTCCTTTCTTCTTTTTCTCTTTCTTTCTTTTCTTTTTTTGGGTGTCATTGCCTCTGCTTGGATGGACGGGTGGTAGGGGTTAGATTATATGCTTTTCAGGGTTATGGTTACAGTAGGTTACGTTTTATCCTTCCTGTAATTTTTTTATTAAACTGGTGGTTCTTCCAAAGTCCTGAGTATATATGTGTGTCTTAGGCCTATAAATCCAACTTTTGGTAGGTAGATAGTGTTTGAATCTGCAACTGTTTGTATTACTTACTATCCTTGGTTTCAGGAGGCTTCCCCATAGTTTTCTCATGTGCTTGGGTTTCATTTCTTTCTTCTCTTCTTGGTTTCAATGTTCTCAAAACAGTGAATATACCCTGTTCAGCCAGTATATTTTGTTATTTTTCTGTTACATTTTGATATGCTCCTCTATTTCTCTAATTTAAATATGGGTCGCTTCTTGCACCTTTTAAGAGATGTTATCCAGCCTATTTCACATGGCTTATTCTTTTTCCAACATTTGGCAGGAGCATGCCAACATCAGCTGCACTCGATGTTGTGGCAAAGAATCTAAACCTGGAAATTTTCGAGGTGGGTATTTAGTTTGAACGAGTATATCTCTTTTTAAGTTCAGTGGTTCCTGAAGCATCTGATCTAAGCTTTGACCCCTTCCAGGTGCCGACCGGATGGAAATTTTTTGGTAACTTGATGGATGCTGGACTTTGTTCAGTTTGCGGTGAAGAAAGTTTCGGGACAGGTAAAAACTGTTCAAATTTTAATCTCGTCCACCAAGTCTTTATCATGAATCATTTGTTAAATCTGATATATTACAGTTTGCTGTCAATGGAAGAAGCCAAGAAAAAGAGCTACTGATAGTCTGTTAGGCACTAAATATATGCCTGTCTAAGAGCATGTATTTTTAAAAGAAAGTTACAAAAGATTATATACTTTTTTTCTCATGGACCAGTGATCACTCTAGGTCAGTGACTGTAAGGGAACATGCTGCCAATTAATATCTAATGCCTTTGAATCCTGAGAATTCATCTATTCCTAACTCCTGACCTTTATAACAAGCATATGCTAATGACATGGGGTTGTTGGGCCTATGATCCCGGGGTCAGGATTGATTGGGATATGTGTGATTTCCCTTGTTAGCGCGTATCTGCCTGGTTGTGTATCGAATACCCAGTAATCCCGGGGTCAGGAATGAGGCCTACTTTGCTTCTTATCCTCACAACCACTTCCAATTAGCTCCTATCTCAGAGGTGAGATCTCATTTCCAAGCACTGGAATGTGATTTCTTGCATCTCCAGCCTTCTCGTTTTCCAAGTGAAGGAGGCTATCTCTTTCGATCCTCTTTATTTCAATTTCCTTAAATATTGAAGGTTGAATAATCTGAGAAATAGGAACTTAGAAAACTTGCATTAACCAATAGTGATATGCAATATAGAAGCACCCTCTTTCAATCGTCTTCTCTTTTCAAGGGATCATAGTATTTTTCACTCTGAAAATTTTGCAAGGTATCTTTTTCTAAAGCATTTAGTAGTTATTGCTGCATAACCTACAAACTGTAAGCTCCAACAATTATTTCAAATCCACTACATAAGGCATTACCTTTAGAATTTGGTTCAAGTTAACCTCCTGTCTCAGTACACAGAAAAAAAATATCATGGAATATCAGTATCATATTATATTCTATTGTAGAAACATTAACGTTGCGAGAAAAATTCTCTACGACTTTAGTTTCTTATCTATTTAGTGTACCAAATAATCATGTTGCAGAAATGGAGGGTCTAATTATGGTAATTACACTTGCTCCTCTCTTTTAGGTTCTGATCATATCCGAGAAAAGGATGGAATTTGGGCTGTTTTAGCTTGGCTTTCCATTCTTGCCTTCAAGAACAAGGACAACATTGGTGGGAAAAAGCTAGTTACAGTGGAAGATATAGTTCGTCAGCACTGGGCAACTTATGGTCGCCACTATTACACTCGATATGACTATGAGGTAAAGTAGTGAAATTTTGTCTTGTGCCTAAAACACCAAGTTTATGTTTGGCTTTACTTCTTACACATGCATAATTGCTTCTTAACTTGTGAGCGTCCCCTAAACCATTCCTTTTTTATGTACAGAATGTTGATGCTGGTGCAGCTAAGGAACTCATGGCATATTTGATCAAACTACAATCAACCCTTCCAGAAGTTAACATGTAAGATTTTTATTCATACTACTTATAAGTTTCAGCTCATGTTTACAATTATACATGTGGAAACCCTGTATGAAGAATGCTACCTTAGATGTTTCCTTGTTTTGTTTTGGGGATCAGCTCGATATGTACATGTAGTTTTTTTTATGAAATATGAAATGAAGTATTGAAGAGAACAAACTCTCTCATTAGGAGGGAGATGAAGGACATGACAAATTGAATCGTGAATTGGCTCATCTTTTTTTGCCCCCTACATTTGACGTGGGTAAGGACTTGTGCATCTAAGTGAATAGGTAGTTTGTAGATGGAGACAAAATGTATGATAATAAAAATAGTGTCTGAATTTTCTTGTCTTTTCCCATGATGCAGGGAAAAACAGTTCTAATATATAGATAGTGAAGTATTTTATCTGTGCGACTGCAGCAAGAACAGAAGACACCCGCAGTAATAAGATTCATAAGAGAATCAGCTTGCATTTGTGTTTAGGTATTAGTACAGACACCAGTGATTATCTTTTCCTGTTGTGAACACAGATGTTCATGGCATTGAATTGCATCACAACTGTTACCAACTGAGGTTAGTTCTTTGATAGTCTCCTAATCTGAGGTGGAAATGGGATTTTTAACTACAATAGAGACGTAGGCGCAATACGTCATTGTTAGGCTCATTGTCCTATGGGCTATGGGTGACTATGGTGGTCGTTCACATTGAGTTATATTATAGTTTCATAGAGCCCATTTGCCACTGACCTTTTCAGTAAAGGGATAGGATGCTGATACATCAACTAATTCCCCAAGAAGTCAATTGTATATACTGTATAACATACTAGATATCGTAGTTCAACCTGATAAAGGATCTCATATTTGGTTAATACTTCGCAGTCTATGTAGCTGCGAGTGCACTAATAAAGGTAAATTGGAAGAGTGTTTTGGCTGAGTCTAAATTTTCATACAGTGAGCAAGTAAGATAGAAGTAAAAAATCCCAGAAGAAAAATCTGCTCCTGAAAGCTGATTCTCCAAGATGAAGGTGATTCTGTGCAAGAATTATGCGTGATAGACCTTAACTCATAAAGGCGGCGATATTGATCCTGGTTGTTTTTCTTATGTCTGCATTATCATGATCTCTCTGATTGTACAATATTGACCAATGACAAACTTGAAAAGCCTTTTCTGTAAAATTAACCTAATGAAGGGGAAGTACCATCTCTAATTGGGGAAGGCAAACATCTCCAGCTTGAAGAGTTTTTCTATTAAGGGATATTGATATCTTGGCTTGAATTGAGAAAGTAGAAACACCATATAAGATGAAGGTGATTCTGTGCAAGAATTATGCATGATAGACCTTAACTCATAAAGGCGGCGATATTTATCCTGGTTGTTTTTCTTATGTCTGCATTATCATGATCTCTCTGATTGTACAATATTGATCAATGACAAACTTGAAAAGCCTTTTCTGTAAAATTAACCTAATGAAGGGGAAGTACCATCTCTAATTGGGGAAGGCAAACATCTCCAGCTTGAAGAGTTTTTCTATTAAGGGATATTGATATCTTGGCTTGAATTGAGAAAGTAGAAACACCATATAAGGTTGGTTTTTTTTTAAAGAGGTAGAGCTAAGATATCTTGTTGTAAGCCGTTGCTTAGTGAAGCTTCTTCAGTGAAAAATCTAGTTGGAATCAGTTGTGGTATAGTCCGACTCCCTCTGGAGTTCATACGACTGTTTTGGTATGCCTAAAGGAATCCTATGCAATGGCAGGCAGAATATGAGAGCCTTATATCTCTATGGGGAAACTTCAAGTATTGTATCATCAAAAGTGTCTTTGCTTAAGGGGCTCATCTTACTCTACACAAAATACATGTCTGAAGCATGTTAGAGGCTTAGAGCATTTTTCATCACAGATGATAAGGTCAAGTATTTATATTAGCTGGTAAATATCTGAAGTGAGTTCTCAGCAATACAAAATGTTGTACTGTTCTTACCCTTGCTGGAAGCTTGACTCGATCTCATTAGACCGATCAAGTGTTAAGGGAGGTGACTTGCTTTCACTATTACTTTTTTTTTTGTCATTTCTCCCACCAGAACCAGTTCTATATGTTAGAGATTACAGGAATAACTCATCTGCCATTTCTTTCATGCATGCATATATTAGTGGTTCTTGTGTTAATTTTCTGATTGATTCCTGCATCTGTCTAGAATTTAGAAACATAAAGCTGAACCCTCGTTCATGTCTTGATGAGACGTCAATCAGTTATTTTACATTGTAGCAGTTGCTATTCCTGATCATATGACATTACTTGTATGTATGCCTTTCGTTGCAGGATTGTACATGGAATAAGATCAGATGTTGCAGATGTTGTTGCAGCAGATGAGTTTGAATACAAAGATCCTGTTGATGGCTCTGTCTCTAAGCACCAGGGTGTTCGTTATCTTTTCCAGGACGGTTCACGACTGGTAAATCTATTCAGTACTTGCTAATCAACAATGCGTTACCCTTTTTTGCACTTGATGCTCAGTAGTTAGTTGTGGATAGGAATTTATTTTAATTCCTTCGTCGCCTGTTCTTCTCTTGTCGAACATTTCATATGATGAAATCATTATTTAGTACCCTCATTAAGTAATTGATGATACACCCTCTTACTATGGTATTGTAACAACTTAAATTTATGTATCCCTGTTTTGCCTTAAATTTAGAGCAACTTATTATTCTTTCCAGTTAAAACTGAAGGTAAACTTTAATTTATCATTACACGATATCCACGTGAGGTCTCAACTTAAAATTTGAAACATTGTTGTCTGGACTCTGGAATTTAGGGGACTTGAGTGCTAATAGAATAGTTTAGAGAATTTTAGTGGCCACTCTCAAGTTTGAGGTGGTTCTTCAGCTATTAAACCTGCGTTATCTAAGTAGCCAGAAGAACATTTTTTTTGTGAGTGGGTAACTAAGGACAAATTGTTGATACGCTCCATTTATATAACCCAGGTGTTCCGTCTTTCTGGAACTGGCTCTGAAGGAGCAACCATCAGGCTCTACATCGAGCAATACGAGAAGGACTCTTCAAAGACTGGGAGAGACTCACAAGACGCACTTTCACCTCTTGTAAGAAAACCCCAGATTTATTGTTTGTTTCTCACATTGATCCTTTTCAATTGCAAGTTTCTTAAGGTAGCTGCTCTTCCTACTTGTATTAGGTGGACGTGGCTTTGAAACTTTCAAAGATGCAGGAGTTCACTGGACGATCTGCCCCTACCGTTATCACATAAATAACGTAGTCGAGTAGCAAATTTCGTGAAGATATTAGTACGTGCCACAAAGCGAGTAATAATGTAAACACTTTATGATATACTGTCTTGTCCTTTGATTTTGTATCCAGGCAAAGGTACGTGCTAAGTTATGCACTCAAAGGTGATTTGTTAATGATTTGACGATTTTGGTTTTGGTCCATGCAACAGCATATAATAAAAGCTGAAGTTAATAATTTTCTGGAACAAGTGATATACGCGTATGTGCAATTTGTTTTTATCGCCTCCAGAGTGCTTCAAGATGTGATGGTGAAACTAGCTACATGTACATAGGAAAGCTTTTGTTCAGCAATCATGCCTCTGCTACTCTTTTAGAGGTGTGAGGTTCTTTGTTGTTTCCGTAATAATGCATGGGTCAGTTTTTGCCGGATAAATTGCACGTAACCCCCTCATGTATACCTCTAGTAGCATTTGGTATCCCTCAATTAATTTATTAGCTCTTGGCACCCGTTTAACTCTCAAGTGAAGGGTGTTATATGGGATATATCCCTCTAAAAGTGGTAATTCAGGGGTGTTAATAAATTAGTTGAGGTGTGTTAAGTTAAACTAGAGGCATAGATGACAGGAATATGTGCAATTTAGCTCCCTTTTTTATAATTAGGATGTTATCTTCTTCAGATCTTAGCGGCTGAGATGTACGTATGTATGTATATATGTATACAGAGGAAATTATGATATTTCTCATACTGTGAATCTGTAGGCCATGCCGAGAGGAGTAATGCTCTCTTTAATCTCGAAATCTGCCTGCTTTTGACGCTATAATAGTTAAGAAAACCGGTGAATGCTTGATCTAACCAATCCAGTACTATGTTCTGGTTCAGTTTATTTCGTCAAACTGGGACCAAGACTTTACGCTATAATAGTTGAGCTTGAAGTTGCCAACAAATGCCCTACTTTTTTTATGTGAATGCTTACCTCATTTTAAATACTCATATAGATGTTTCAGGTTCGAAGTTCATGCACGCTTGTCATTCACGTGCCCGTGCGAAGCACACGGAGAGGTGCACTGGCTAGTGAGGTTTGGGCGACAAATAACGCAATATCTTTGGCTTGAGAGTTTACGTTAGAAGGTTTTCTGTTTTTCTGATGATTGAACTATTGTGTACTTGTAGGTGCCATGGTTTCCTCATGCCGCCGTGAAGAATCTTGCATTCAAAAAAAAAAAAAAAAAAGGTTGAGTATAATGCAAATTCGGTTTTGGATTGGATTCAGATCATACAAACGATATAAAAAGAGATCCTTAGAAAATTTAATAAACAGAAAAGATCCAAAGCAAATTTGTATGGTAAGAGTATTATACAACACAAACTATTAAAACCTAGAAGACGTCGGCCACTTTTTTGTCGTGGCAAATGATAAACCCCCTGGTCCTTTCATCATATTTTCCGAACACTTCGACGCAACTCTCACACAAAAAAATAAAATAAAATAAAAATAACAAAAATGAGAAGATAATAAGGACATGTCATTCTTTATAAATCATATTTTAAAACAGTATAAACAACGCACGAAATCCGTAGTGTGGATGACAACAATTAAAAAAAATCATGCAAATGGAATGTTGAATCTGTACAGATAATATATGCATCAGTGCAGTCATCAAATTTAATTAATAAATGGAGCTCAATCTTTCATCCCGATAAATCTCAATATGTGAGATATGTGTTGGGGAGAAACCCCTATGCCGAGATCCAACCAAATAGCCGAAAGAGATAAACCAACACACCAACAAAACCAAATAGCCGAAAGAGATAAACCAACACACCAACAAGAGCACAAACACAATCAACACCAGATTTTACGTGGTTCGACAAGAGCACAAACACAATCAACACCAGATTTTACGTGGTTCGGCGAGATGCCTACGTCCACGGGGCAAAGAGTGGGGAGTTTTCACTATTAGAAATCAAGGGGATATAACTAGAGTTACAAATCTCTCATAAACCCTCAACAAATCAACTCTTGATCTCACCAATTGCTCTTAGAATAGAAGCCCAAAGAAAACTCCTTTCAACAGCTCAAAACACTTGCCTTACAAACCCTAGAATCGAGTTTGAGTATTTATAGAAACCCTAAACAAAACGGGTCTGGAAAACAGACCCAGCCCAAAACCGCTTCGGTGGTCGACCGCGATCCATCGCGGGCGACCGTCACGGTCGACCGCCCACACTCCAGAACAGAAACTTCTGCGGTCGACCGTCGCGGTCGACTGGCACCAATCCTGACGCCCAGTAAGTCTCGTGCACGTTCGCGGTCGACAGCCGTGGTCGACCGCCAATCTGTCTGCCTAAATTCTGTCATTTCTACAAATCTCCACCTTGGCGAAGATTCTTCCAAACTGGGCCGACACCAACCAAACCAATGCCTCGCTTGTTGTATCTAGTACGTCATGGCAACGGACCCCATCCACAACATGTCGAGACCTGTAGGCTGTCTAAAAATCACAATAGATAGCTTATTCAAACAAGCTCCGACAATGGAAGTCACAATCAGACGAATTTCTAAATCACTGCATCCGTAACTCCACAATCGCCACAAACGCGACCTCACTTCTGAGATGATTGATCTTGATGGCTGTGACAACAACATGGCTAATATCATAGCAACTATTAGAGATGCTGATGAGCAGTGGGATGATTTCAGAAATAAAAGGTTGGACTCAGTTGGTGAGTTGCTTGGTAGAGAGCTGTGGGCAAATATTCATCTTTAAGACACTATGGATGTTGATTCCCGTCTAGCTTCAACAACGAAAGCTACAATCAAATAGCTTTCGGGTCGGTGATCGAAAGCGGCAAATAGAGGACTTTTCACATAGATCGAGAAAGGTTACAATTCAACGACACTTCCGACAACTGATGAAAACTCTATTCAGCAGTCTTCACAATCTACAGTGAAAGTTACAATCTGACGGCTTTCAGCTAAAAGCCAGGATTACTGAACAACGGTCCTTGCAATGCACCACAGAAGAAGCTACAAGTCAAATAGCTCATTCTGAGACGCGGATGTCATCCCCGCGTCACCACTTTAGAAATGAAGGCGACCCCCGCGTCTCCAAGGCACAATCCAAACGCGGGCGACCCTCGCGTTCATAGGGGTTCAATCAACGCTGACCCCCGCGTTTCCAAGCAGGAAACAAGCCAAAACGCGAGCGACCCTTGCGTTCAATGGTGTTCAGCTAACACCCAACCTCGCGTCTCAATCCTAAAAAGCGAAGTTGGGTTCTGAACGCCAGATTGGGCGTTTGACTCACTCAAACATGAGTCGAACGGTTCCAAAACCGTTTATCCCACGTCCTGAGGGATTTTCGCCCACGTAGGAGCGGATATAGGGGTCAGTTACAACCTCTTATCCCCCTATAAAAGCTCAACGAACCCAACAGAGCAAGAGGTTGGATTTTCGGCATCTGAACCACAGGGGTTGATTGGATTTTCTCTGGGCTCAGATCAGAGGCTATTGGCTGGCTCGTTGAAAACCACTCTGGCTTGGAGATTCAGCAGCAACGAAATCCTTGGAGATAGGATTTTTGAATTAAACTCAGAAGATCAAATCTGAGAGGATTCTTCGACAACAGAAAAACAGCTTGATCATTAACCGAATTTTCGGTTCCAACAACTCTACTCATAGAGTTCAAACTCGTTCAGAGTTCTTAAAAAAACTCATTCAGAGTTAAACACAAAACTTTCCACAGAAGTTCATTGTTCCCACGAGAGAGAGACAGTCGGATCGTCAACGGAGAGCAAATTCGACGCGAGCAATTGAAGGAGGCGAAGGAAGCACTCCATCGCTGCCAAGAAGAACCTAGTTTTAAACAAAGGGGAAAACCAAATTCGTTTTCCTCTCTTTTGTAATCAAGTTGTAACCGAGATCAAAGGAATCAAAATCACATTTTCTTTATTCTCTTCTTTGCAATTTTCTCAACATACATCAGCATCTCAACCAGCCCAACAAGCCGACACCCCAGTGTCGACGCGAGAAGCGGTGACAGTCGACATGAGAGATCCTGACCTCCCAGACTAGTCGACATTCTCAACTCGAGAGATGGTTATTAGCTGAGACGAGACGACATTCCAACCAGTCGGACAGGTCAACACTTCTGAGTCGACGCGAAAGGCGGTGTCGGTCGACACGAGAATCAACAACTCAAAGATATGACCCTAAGGACCTTGCTTCTCGATGAAGCTAAAGGGTTGCCCTTATCTTAAACTCATCAGGATAGGTGTCACTTCTCAATATTGTTTAATCTTTGATGGTCATCATTATGTCTCTGTCCTCAACTGTCTCGAAGACTTGTTGGCTGCTGGCTCCCAATGCTGCCGAAGTGATCTCCCGCCACTCACAAGCCATTGACGAGGAGCTTGCTTGAGTCCATAGATGGATTTCCTTAATTTGCAGACCATATTCTTTGGGTCTCCCGACACAAAGTTTTCTGGTTGCACCATATAGATCATCTCATCAATGTCTCCATTGAGAAATGCAGTCTTAACATCCATCTGATGTAACTCAAGATCATAATGAGCAACAAGTGCCATGATTATTCTGAAAGAGTCTTTCGATGAAACCGGAGAGAAAGTCTCTGTATAATCAATGCCTTCCTTTTGAGTATAGCCTTTAGCCACAAGACGTGCCTTATACCTCTCCACATTACCGTTTGCATCCCGTTTGGTTTTAAAAATCCATTTACAACCAATTGGTTTTGCACCTTCTGGTAATGGGACAAGTTCCCAAACCTTATTGTCTTGCATAGACTTGTACTCTTCATTCATGGCATCAATCCATTGTTGAGAGTTAGAACTTTTCATGGCCTGAGAGAAGTTGATTGGATCATCTTCTAACATTCCACTACTTTCCTCATGTTCTTGGAGAAATACAATATAATCATCCGGAATAGCATTTCTCCTTTCTCTCATGGATCTCCTTAATGGCACTGGTTCTTGAGGTTGTTGAGTTTGTTCTTCTTGAACAAGGAGTTGTTCAACATTGTCTTCTTGAGATTCCGGATTTACTTCTTAATCAATAACATGTATATGAACCTAGATATTATCAAGAGTAACTGTATGGATTGGGTATGAAACCAATTCCTCCTCAAAAACAATGTCTCTAACCTTATTTCTCCCTAAACTCAACATCCTCAAAGAATGTTGTTGTTCCCATCTCAAAAATATTCTTAAGTGTGGGATCATAAAACTTAT